TAGGTATCTGTCAACATATACCTAGGTTGGTTCCATAATTTGACTATTGTGACTTGTGCTTTGGCAGCATTTTTTTTGATACCTGCATTTAGATCATATTTTTGAGCACTTGCAATAAGGCAGGCTCTGCACATGATTTCATTTAATTCTCACTCATAATCTCATTTAATTCTCATTTAATCCTAATATAGGTGTTAGTCCCACTTGTAAAGTAGAGAAACTGGAACTCTTAAAGTTAAGTTACAGAATTAGAATTTGAATCCAAGTCTCTCCAGAACCCAAGATTTTAAAGAACATTTCAAATCAAAAAATGGCAAGTGATGTACAGCAGAACATATCTAAAAGGAGACACGTGAGCCCCAAAATTCTATAGGTAACTCCCAGAGGGGCTAGAGACATCGTCACCATGTCAGGCCCATCCTGAACTCATTCTGTATTTCATTTTTGTAAATGTAACCAACTTCATATCCAGCTTATAAAATCTTCTCACTTAATTTACATCTTCCATAATGCTAAATAGTCCAAAAAAATTCAATCCAGTTCATATGTTACCTTCTTGTTCTGCATGCTCAGTCAGCAAATTCAAAGCTTCCTTTGCTTTAGGACTTTTCACTGATGACAACGCATAAGTTATAAGAGCTAGAGTGTAATTGTCTGAAATTCCTCTACTGAATTCAGACTCCAAAAATGTGACAGAGTCTTGAACATCAATATTAGGCTTGAAAGAAAAATACAGATTTTACTACTCAACCCATAACCACACAGTAAAACAAAAAGTACTTTGAAACATTTATTCAAAAAATTTTTCAACATTTCTTATGATCTTGACCTAGGCAATAGGAATCAACAATGCTCATTGACATTTAAAGATTTGCTATGTATTTTGAAAATAATACTGCTTTTAGTTGTTATAATTAAATAAGCACCATTATTTTTGAAGGAATAAGAAATAAAAAGTAGAGCTTTTGCAACTGATTATCATAATCTTAGATTTAAAAAAAGAAAATACAGCTTAAGAAAAATATTTCTCTGATTTAATTTCAGATACTGAATCTCTAAATTTAAGGGAAAGTTTATGACTAGTGCTGGGCTAGGAAAATAGTAGGAGCTTAATAAAAAGAATAGTGCTGATCTTATAAAATGTAATTGACAGTTAGCAGTAAGGTGTCAAACACCAAGATGTCAAACATCTGGAGCAAAATTAAGCTCATGAGTGTAACTTTCTGTGCACACTCATTCTCATGCAAGCACCCATGCCCATTCAGAGTGTGGGTGTGCTTTCCACTAGATTAACCAACACTGCAATTGTTCCATGGTATTTTATAAATAAAAATCCTTCACAATCTCATCTTGCTAGAACACATTCCCAATATTTAAGAATATTCTTTTCCCTAACAATAATGAGATAGGGGCTGGGGTTGTGGCTCAGCGGTAGAGCATTCGCCTCACATGTGTGAGACCCTGGATTCGATCCTCAGCACCACATTAAAAAAAAAAAAAAAAAGTGAAATAAAGGTGTTGTGTAAAAAAAAAGAAAAGAAAATCAGCACAGTGTCCAGGAAAAAATAATAAGATATGTATTGACTTCTCTTACTAATAGCAAGTTCAATACCTATATTAGAAAATATTTTATAATTCTCTTATTCTGAAAAGTGAATTAATTTTATACTCAGATTTTGGGATGTGACCACAAATTGAAAGCAAAGGTCACCCAAATTCAGTTTTAAACTCAATGTAAAATTGCAAAATTCTTTAAGCTTCCAGACATAGATTTGACCCACCAAAATCTACTTTCCTAGGATTTCCCACTTGTCATTTATTATAGATTAAGTACCTGATACTTCTTGTATCCCAGGAGAGAAGTCACAATATAAGCTGTAAGTGTTACTGGACTTTTATTGCTACCTTGAAGTTCACTATGGATCACTCTTCCTGGCTCCCAAAATTCACCATTGGATTTCTGATGTCCTTTGAGCCAAGTATATGTTCTGTGTAACACATTCGGATCAATATCTATGTAAGGATCAGCTTCAAGGAAACATCTTAAAACAAAAGCTGACAACCTTGGTGAAAAGGGGAAAAAGACATAAAACACACTTTACAAAGTCCTCCAAGTAACACTGAGCAAGCAAAACAACAACTCTTTTCCCCATCAAAATATTCACCAAAGGTGAATTTCTCTGAAAAAGAAAAACAAGGAAGAAAGACAGAAGAGAGACAGCATGAATGAACAACTGCCTAGCAGACAGATCTGGTTTCTACTTGAGCGCGGCCAAGAAATTCCAGATTGAGTCACAAAACATCAGATTTGGAAAGGAATTTAGAAACCACCTAATCTAGCCTCTTCATTTTATAGATTGAGACTTTGGAACTCTGAAAGAGCTAAATAAATTGCCCAAGATCATCTTTGTATTCTTCTACACATGTACCAAAGAAGATCTTAAACGTGTGGCTCAGCCTAAAGCTGTGGATGAAGTATATACTTTAGTTACAGTTAGCTCACAAGCTAACTGTAGTCCTCCAAGTGAGAGGATTGGGCATTTTTCTCTCTTATAGTACTGCAGCCCACAGACCCCATCTGCTTGATCCAAATCTGGCCCTGAGGCCAAACAACTCAGGACATGTTTCTGTCTGCACCCCACACATACACCTGTCAACAATGCCAAAACCTAAACATGATTCTAAAAGGGAGAAGCAGAAGAGAAGAGAGGGGAAGGAAGAAGAGAAGAAGAAAGGAAGGGAGGGAGTGAGGAAAGGAAGAGAGAGAAGGAGGGAGAGAGGAAGGAATGCAAAGATGGAGGGAGTGAGGGAGGGAAGGAGGTGAGGCTTATCCAACAGAGACATGTGCCTCAAAATGTCTGAAGTGTTTACTGTCTGACTCTGTATAGAAAAAGTTTTCCATCAAACACATTCCAATACAACAGCAATGAATCCACTGAAAGAGAAATCAGGAAAACTACCCCATTCACAATAGCCTAAAAAAAAAAAACAAAACAAACAAACAAACAAAAAAACCTGGGAATCAATCTAACAAAAGAGGCGAAAGACCTCTACAGAACACTAAAAAAAGAAATTGAAGAAACCCTCAGAAGAAGAAAAGATCTCCCATGCTCCTAGATAAGCAGAATTAATATTGTCAAAATGGCCATTGTACCAAAAGTGTATACAGATTTGATGCAATTCCTATAAAAATCCCAATGACACTCTTTATAGAAATAGAAAGTGCAATCATGAAATTTATTTGGAAAAATAAGAGACCTAGAATTGCCAAAGCAATCTTTAGCAAGAAAAGTGAAGGAGGAAGCAGCACAATACCAGACCTTAAACTATACTACAGAGCAATAGTAACAAAAATAGCATGGTATTGGCACCAAAATAGAAACAGACCAAAGCACAGAATAGAAGACACAGAGACAAACCCACATAAATACAGTTATCTCATACTAGACAAAGGTGCTAAAAACATTCACTGGAGAAAAGATACCCTATTCAACAAATTGTGCTGGCAAAACTGGAAATCCATACGTAGCAAAATTAAATTAAACCTCTATCTCTCACTTTGCACAAAAATCAATTCAAAGTGGATCAAAGACTTAAACACTAAAACAGAGACCCTGTACCTAATAAAAGAAAAAGTAGGCTCAGATCTTCACCTAGGATCTGACTTCCTTAACATGATCCCTAAAGCACAGAAAGTAAAATCAAGAATCAATAAATGGGATGGATTCAAATTTAAAAAGCTTCTTCTCAGCAAAGGAAACAATCAATAATGTGAGGGGAGAGCCTACAAATTAGGAGAAAATCTTTACCACATGCACCTCCAATAAAGCATTAATCTCTAGGATATATAAAGAACTCAAAAAACTTAACACCAAAAAAAAAAAAACCACAAATAACCCAATCAATAAATGGGCTAAGAAACTGAACAGACACTTCATAGAAGAAGAAATACAGTTGATCAACAAATATATGATGTGTTCAACATCTCTAGCAATTAAAGAAATGCAAATCCAAACTACACTAAGATTTCATCTCACTCCAGTCAGAACGGCATTCATCAAGAATACAGGCAACAATAAATGTCAGCAAGGACACGGGGTAAAAGCTTCACTCATACTTAGCTGATGGGACTGCAAATTGGTGCAACCACTATGGAAAACAGTATGGAGATTCCTTAGAAAACTTGGAATGGAACCACAGTTTGACCCAGGTATTCCACTCCTCGGTTTATACCCAAAGCACTTAAAATCAGCATACTATAGTAATGCAGCCACGTCAATGTTTACAGCAGCTCAGTTCACAATAGAGGCTATGGAACCAACCTAGGTGTCCCTCAATAGATGAATAGATAAAGAAAATGTGATATATATATATACATATATATATATATATTCATTCAATGGAATATTACTCAGCTTTAAAAAGAATGAAATCATGGCATTTGCCAATAAATGGATGGAATTGGAGAATACTATTCTAAGCAAAATAAGCCAACCCCCCAAAAAAACAAAAGCTGAATGTTTTCTCTAATATGCGGATGCTAATTTATAAGGAAGGGGGCACTAGAGAAGAATAGAGTTACCTTAGATTAGGTAAAGGGAAAAGAAGGGAAGGAGACATGTGGATAGGAAGGATAGTAGAATGAAACTTTATGCATATATATATATATATATATATGACTGCATGAGCAATGTGATTCTACAACACGTACATTCAGAAAAAATGAGAAATTATATCCCATCTACGTATGATATATCAAAGTGCATTAATGCATTCAATTCTACTGTCATGTATGACAATTAAAAAATTTAAAAGAAAAAGTTTTCCAACCTTGATATGGAAAACTATATTAAAGTAAAAAGAATATACAAAATCGTCTATTTATGGATCTATATCTGACTCGTGATAAGAGAAAATTTGAAGCAGAATCCATTTCATCTTATAAAAGTTTTAGCATGATAAATATCACTAATATTCAATAATATGCAGTTTTCCTTTAAGTATTAATGTTCGATAATATCCAGTTTTCCTTTACTTTGAGTTTGCAAAGGGATTCACTTCCCTGCCCTCTTGGTACCAGCTCTGATAATGATAAAGTGAGTAGAAATATTACACTTAGACTAAAGCATCCAATTGCCAGTGCCAGATACTGCAGCCTTCTCTTTTAGGGCTGTGGCAAACTTGGAGCCTCCTGTTCTGATGGTGAGATGCTGGCTGCCAAAGCACAGAGAGCAGAGTCCCCTGCTGACCCACAGTGGAAATGCAGCAAACGAAAGAGAGACCATTGTTAATATGCTTTTGAGATTTAGCATTTATAGTTTGGATCTTGTGTTCCAAGATGTGTTCCCCCAAAGTCACATTTGCTAATGGCTTGATCCCCATGAGGGTACTATTGAGAAGTGGTAGAACCATTAGTGAGAGGTGAGGGACTATGGGGAAGTCCTTAGATCATTTGGGGCATTTAGGGCATGGATCAATGGGATTGTGGAAACCTGGCTCCTTCTTGTTTGTTTTGTTGTTGTTGTTGTTGTTTTATTTTGTTTTGTTTTGTTTTGTTTTGTTGTTTATTTGCTTGCTTGCTTGTTTGCTTCCTAGGCATGAGGTCAGTGCCTTTGTTCGGCCACATCTTCAGACATGAAGTGCTGCCTCATCACAGACTCAAAACAATAGGGTCAACCATGGACTACAATATGCAAAAATATCCAAAATCTTTTTTCTCTGTCTCTCTTTCTCCCTCTCTTCCTCCCTCCCTCAAAAAAAAAAGGTGGGGGGGGCTGGGGTTGTGGCTCAAGCGGTAGCGCACTCGCCTGGCATGCGTGCAGCCTGGGTTCGATCCTCAGCACCACATACAAAGATGTTGTGTCCGCCAAAAACTAGAAAATAAATATTAAAAAATCCTCTCTCTCTCTCTCTCTCTCTCTCTCTCTCTCTCTCTCTCTCTCTCTCTCTCTCTTTCTCTCTCTCTCTTTCTCTCTTTAAAAAAAAAGTTTTGTAGATACATTCTTTTAATATTTTTTTTTTCAGAAATGAGGATCAAACCAGGGCCTTGCACATGCTAGGCAAATGCTCTGCCACTGAGTTTATATACCAGTTCAATCTTTTCTCTTTATAAGTAGATTATCTCAGGTATTTTGTTAGAGTAACAAAAAACTAACTAACATAGTCAATTTTATTCTGAAATATGAAATTGAAGATAGTACAAAGAGAGAGATTAATTATCCAAAATCAGCCACATAGAGATTCATTCAAGAGGAAACTCCAAATGCTCATTACTTAATCTAATCATTGTGTTTTTTTAAATAAAACAACCTTAAATAAACCACATAGACTGTATTAACAAAACACTTGCACTAATCAGATCAGCTTATAGAAAGAACAATGTCACAATGATGAATTTTCCTTGTCAGCTACATAATTATCACAAGATATTTTTAGTGCTGTTTTTCCCACAAACAAAAGAGAAATTGTAATTTATCTTTTCTAAGTAAAAAGTATTTGATTTATTAATGTTTTAAACCATGCTTTAAAAGATAATCCCTTTTATGGGACTATAAGAAAAGCAGCTGCCAAGTCTATACACAGAGACATGTCTATCGATTCCATGGCCAGTGTGACCTAGTAAAAGCTCATGCCATGACACATGTGTTAGACGGGAAAAATCACTTACCAAGTGCTCCCAGAAGGGTCGTTATTCCCAAAAGCACTGAAGGAGCCATCATCCCTCTGGTACAGAAGTTCCCTCTGGTAACCTGAAGAAACAGAAATGGACTAGTATTCAATGTAATCAACTCGCCATAATAAAAGTTTCTAATAATGACTCCATGTTGAGGAAATAGAGCAGAGAAGTGGAAAGAAGAAAACATAAACCCACACCTAATAATGGGTACTCCCTATGTTAAGTGTTACAGGAAATTTTAAATACTAGGACTTTTAAAGCAGAACGCAGAAAATAAGAACTGTAATACCCCAAATTAAATGCAAAAGACTTTAAATTTTGGACAACACTTGGAGACCTTCAAAAGCAAGCAAATTAAAGGCAGAGTTTTATTTAATGCTCCAGTGTTCACCAAGATGGTTTTTATGCTTAGTCATCTAAAATTATTTGATGCCAAAAAAAAATAGTATTTCCTATGGTATCATAATTAAAGTTTACAAGACCTCAAACAGTAAAAATACTTTCTACTCATATACCAGCAATAGATAAGAGGAAATGCTATATAATCTGAGATAACATCTCAAATATTTTGGTCATGGCCAACTGAGGCAAAACAAAACATCAATGGTCAGCATACCACAGCAATTCTACATTTCCACTCAAAAAAGTACTTGGTCATAAAACTGAAGGATTAGTTTTAAAAGTAAAAATTGGAGAGGGATATTAAGGCTCGAATATTTGTCTTCATAAATGCAGATGTTTCATATTTGCAAACAAATTATTTCAAATCAGATGCAGTTGTTTCATATTTGCAAAGCAATACATACAGGACCAAGTCCAATGACTGAGAAATCATAGGCCAAACACATAGTGAAGAAAAGAAAGTACTATGTTTCATAGTAATCTTTAAGACTTAACCGAAAAAGGAATAAAAAGTGATAACGATTTTGCTTAGTTTGAAGAAGGGAACATTAGATTATGATCTTTTTATACAACCGAAATATTATAGTATGGTAATTAAATAATCCACCTTCATTCAACACTGACTAGATATCAAGAACTGCTCAGGGTCCTTTGCAAGTATTAACTCAGGTAATTCTCACAACATCTACCCTGTGGCATAGATGCTATTATTATCCTCTTTATACCAATAATGAGGCTGAAACTCAGAGTATAAAAATACTACGTACACAGTCACAACTGGTAGATAGAGAATGTGGGATTAGCCAAGGTCTAACCAGCTCCAAATAATTCAAAGAATTCTTTCAATGATTAAACATGACACTGCATGAAAAGTCCTTAGCACATTAAGCTCTCAACAAACGGTAGGAATTGGTCTCTGGGATGTGGGAAAGGTTTTCTAAGCACCAAATAAGACAAAATAAAAATTGAAAAGTTTGACTATTAAAAAAGATTTTAAATTCCTCAATGAAAAATAAACCACTATAAGTTGAAAAAATAAAAGGACATATTGCAACATATAAAATGGATAAATAGCTAACATAAATAATATTAATCAATAAATGTATTTGTATATTTATATGTTGACATTATATATACATATATAAAAAAATTTTAAACTTCAGGGGAAAGATTTTTTTAAGTCCTATAGGAAAAAAAGTGAACAAAAAGACAAGAATAGACAAGTCATAAAAAAAAAATAAGATGAACTTAAATATATGAAAAATGCTCAACGTCATCATAGGAAAAATATAAATTAAAATTACAGTGAGTTACCATATCTTATTTATCAGATTAGCAAAGATTCAAAAGCTTGACTACTCATTATGTAAGGAAGATAGTATGCATCCATCACTAAAGGAGATTCAAAGTGATATAACTATTTAGGAGAGTGTCTCTCCCCTTTTGAGCCAGTAACCCCACTTCTGGGAATCTACCCTGGAGACACACCCCCAATAACATAAAACTATATATGCAGATTATTCATTTTAGCATTATTTGTAATTATAAAATATTGAAAACTACCTAAATAGTACCCAAGTCAGAAATTGGTTGAATAAACAATTACACCTATGTAGAACGAAGTACTATGTGACTGTGAAAAATGACAGAGGAATATCTCAATAAACTGATGTAGGGTCATTTGTTGGACATACTTTTAAATTAAAAGGCCAAAATCTAAAATAGCATATCTTATATGCTACTTTTTGTACAAGAAAAAAGAGGAAATGTAAAGCATACAAGTATATGTTTATTTTTTCAAAAAGAGAAGATAAATCAGAAACTAATAAAGTCGGTTACTCACAGAGAGTAGGAAGAAGAGAAAGGAGAGGGAAAGAGATCTCTTTAAATATACTTTTAAAAATGAGATTCACAGGATGGGCACAGTGGCATATGCCTGTTATCTTAGTGGATTACAAGTTCAAAGACGGCCACAGCAAAAGCAAGGTAGAAGCTACTCAGTGAGACCTATCTCTGAATAAAACACAAAATAGGGCTGGTGATATGACTCAGTGGTTAAGTGCCCCTGAGTTCAATCCCTGGTACCCCCAAAAAATAATAAAATTCACTTTTAGAACCATGTTAATGTTCTGCATATTCAAAAAAACAAATAAAAATAGGAAAAAAATAAATCATCAGCTTTATTATGAACACTACTTAGTTCATTTCATCATGTTTTAGTTTTTATACAACCCTGAAAAAAAAAAAGCATATAAGCTCTTAATTTATCAGAAGCAATCAGAGATCACAGAGAAGCAGAATAATTTCTTAATCTTCACAAACAATATTAGCAAAAGAGTCTGAGACAGTCTCAGGACGAAATCCACTAGATAGCCAGAGCTCAACTGTGAACTCAATCTAACAGGGAAGTGGAGGGGAGAGGAGACCTTTGGAACCCTCCATCATTACAGGAGGTTCTTCTGGGGGAGAGAGCCATGTACTTCCAAGCCCCCACACATCAACAACTGCAGTTCCAAGTATGAGATCTTGTAAAACCGGTCAGAGAGCTGAGATCATGGAGATGAGATCAGTGCTTATGGAAATTACCCCTCAGGTGGCTGACCTCCAACATTCCCTGTTAATATCAACAACTAGCACCATTCTTCCACCAGGGGCAACCAGCCCAGAGGAAAAGAGGAGCCACATGTAGAGCCAGTTGTGGAGTGAATTTCTTAAACTGACTTAGATAAACCTGAGAGTCTAAACCTCCAGCTCTGCTCCCAGGAAAAAATAAAGGAAACAAGCAGAACCCAGCGAGAAGAACTTACATGACTGTCTTTGTGGGCGTCCCCTGAGAGGTTTCCCTCCTCCTGTTACACCAGCCACGAATTGTTGGAGAACCCTCAGCTGTTTGTCCTCCAGCGCATCCTAGTGCATCAGGCCTCATTTCCACTCCATGAGCAGAAAAGGACACTGTTGATGGAGCTACAGCTTTTGTTCTTAATAAAACAATTCAACATTCCAGAGCAATCGCCTGAGTTGATGACTTTTCATCACAATAAGTGAGAATGTCAAAAACATGGTTTTCTCCAAAAGTTTATGAAAAAAACAAGACTATTGCTTTTAAATTAATAGTTTTATGACCAGCTCTTGAGTTTGAAATTAATAACATAAACAGAATTGTCAGACACTTCTGAAAACTGAAATACAGAAGAAGTCAAGAGACTTTTTTAAGATAATGACCCAGGAAGCACTGTTTATAAATGACAAAATAGGACACATACATTTCAGGGTCATGAATTTTCTTTAGACTAAGTATGAATTAAAAAAATCTTCAGAATTTACCATAGTAAAGATAAAAGTACTGTTTACAGAAACACATCAAAAAGTAACATTCCAGGGCTTCAGATGTAGTTCAGTGGTAGAACACTTGCCTCACATACAAGAGGGCTTTGGGTTTGGTCCCCAGACCAAAAAAAAAAAAAAAGAAGAAGAAAAAAAAGAAAGTAACATTCTGAATACAGTTTGGCTTGATTTACCTTAAATATAAAAATTATATGTAAATAAAAGAAGTAAAATCAGCTTTTTTTTACTATTGAAGCACTTTCTCTAGCAAAAGCTGATAAAGATATTTTCTGTACTAAAAAGAAAAATAATCATTATTCACTTCCTTTCTTTCTCTGACATGAGATATAGATAGAGAAGTTTATGGGTTTTTCTCCTCTAGGTTCTTCACTATTACCTCCAGCTATACTGGTGATGGCCAAAGGCAGCAGCAGAATTCTGAACCCCTTTTTTTTCCTGTATTTATTTCAATAGACAAAAATATAGTGTTTTCCACCAGACTTGGTATGATTCTCACTTGAAAAACTTAAGCCACAAATGCTACGATTTGAATATCTCTGAGGAAAATAAGGTTTAAATCTTCAGTTAACAGGATTTCCAGTCCTTATCAGAAACAGTTTTCATTTTATGATTCTGCTTTTTGCTTTTTTAAACAGCAAAATACACACACTTCATTCAATGATGTAGCTGTTGTTTTGACCCAAAAAATCAATGGGTTAGGTTACAGGTTTCCTGGGCCAAGCATGATTTAAGTAAAACAATGCGCTGTCCATAAATGACATTTAAATAATGTAATCATGACTCACACCAAAGCCACTTCAATTTCTTAAAAAAGAAAAACAACTACACTATATTTAAAGGACTTGGGCAAATATGATGGCAAAAGAAAAGACAGTCTCTGATTTCATTATGAAATCAGTGTCTGATTTCATAATGAAAAGTATTATACCAGGAAACTTTTGTCTAGCACTTTGAAATGTAATTTGGACTAGCATGTGAGATGATGTCTTTGGGGAGCTCAGTTTTGCTAACTTTCATCAGTCACTTCACCAGATCAAAGGGGAACATGTTGAAACCACGGGTCACATTTCCCGGCTGATAAGACCTCGCTGAGACCAGGGGGAATCTTGAGTGTCTACAGATAATCACTATATTGTGGAAGTGCTTCAAAAATCTTCTAGGCCCATCTCCACATGAAGATGGTGACTCTAAAGCCCATAGAAAGAAGTGAATATGGATAATTCATTCATCCATTGGCTATTTACTGAGATACCTCTAAAGTCATAAAACGAAGACGCAGTTAAACCCTGTCACAGAGTTCATTCTCCAAGTGTAGGAGACAGATGACGAATAGGATAATTTTAAAGAATGTTAAGTGAAAGAAAACAATATGGAGTAATGTAAATCAGAGTCACTAAATGGTCAGAGAAGGTCACTCTGAGGAAAACACAGCTAACTAAGGAAGACAGTCAGGGAAAGATCTGAGAGAAGAGCACTCCAGGAGAAGGAAGAGGAAGTAGCTAGAAGCTGAGAATGCTCCAGACAGCGCAGTAAAGGGAAGCAGAGAGTGGTGGCAGTTGGGGAGAAAAATAGAGGATGAAGCCAGTTCACTCAGGACCTGGCGGGCCCAAGTCAGTAGCCCATTGGAGGACTTTAAGCTAGAAAATTACATAATCTAGAAATTTTCAAAAGATCCCTTTTATAATATATGGAGATCATATACTGAAGAGGAGGGACCACAGAAGCAGAAAGACTAATTAGACAACCAACGGGTTAGTCCAGATGAGTAACTATGCTATTAGAATTGGAACGGTGAGCCCTGAGATGGAGAGAGGTGGAAGGATTTCTTATTTGTTTCTAGAGGTAGAATGGACAGGATTTGTTTGCTGACTTTCAACCCTAACTCCAGAGTTAGAAGAAACCACTCTCATAACTGACATACTTAACGGTTGAATACAGTGCTGAAATATTTCATTCGCAAGTCAACTGTATCAGGTGGGAAAACTGAGGCTCCAAGAGGGCTAGAAAATCCCAAGGTAGGAGCCAGGATTTAGAGCCCAGTTCTGACTGCCTCCTTAGCGGGTGCTACAACACCTAGACTCCAGTTTCTCTAAGAGAAGACAGGCTTTCTTTACAGCAGTAGTGCTGGACAGTCTGAACAATTTGGAGGACCATTTGGCACTTAGAGACCAAACATTTCTTTGCCCTCTGGCTGCTATGCACCTTCTAACAACCAACAAAAGTGAAGAAAGCTTCCAAGTAATCAGTGAGATGTTCAGAGGACTGCTTAGAAAAACTTACAGTTTGGCACCAGCCTAGTCAGGATTGGCCTGAAGGAACTAGCACTGCTTTTGGAGCAAGGGCTCTTTGGAAAAGAATTGGACCAGTCATTTTTTTAAAAAATCTTTCCTGACCCAGAGCCAAGGATCTATGTCACAATCTCGAATCATCTTTTTTTTTTAAACTATTTTCTTTTTTTAGTTGGTGATAGACCTTTATTTTATTTATATGGGGTGCTGAGAATTGAATCCAGGGCCTCACACATGCCAGGCAAGTGCGCTACCACTGAGCCACAGCCCCAGCCCCTCAAATTATCTTTAAAGGACAAGTTATCATTCCTTAAATGTTTCAAACTATTCCTTTAAGGTTCCATCTTTCAAAAGCATTAGTATTAGATTAGCCAAAGTTCATAAAGCATATATAGATATGAAATTATGGCATTTCCTGAAATATTTCACTTCACTGTATTAAAATATCACAAAGAGTGAATATAACAAATTAAAAAACACCAGTGTACTTCTTAAATGCACTCTTTTCTTGAAACCAAACAAACTAAATCTTGACTACACACCAGATCTTGTTTTTAAATGTGCCGAGTTAACTTAGGATAATCTCTAATAAATTTTACTCATCTTCTTAAATATAACTAATACACCAATGTATAAAGATCTCATATTTTTAAGCATGGCACACAATATGTCATAGAGAGCTCTAATAGCACTTCTTAAACAAAATTATGATAGTAACAAAATTATGATAGAATTTGAAAAATAAACAGCTCTTATATGTGTGCATTTAAAATATAACTAATCCACAAATATATGTATAACAAATATATGGCAATTTTAAGTGGAAAACTCTACAAATAAAATGCTAGATCTTTGAGTCCTTAAAGGGCCAAACCACCTCCTGGGTTTGAGAACCAGTCAGTGTCTACAGGACCTTTCCATAATCTGAAGGAAAATATACCAGTATCTCCATCCTCACTCAGAACACATTTAGCCCTAATTCCAAATCCTGGTTACCCTAGTTTGTCATAAACTGCATGCATTGCTCCTGATGTAACCCCTTGACTCCCACTCAGTCTTTGTGTGTACCATCCAGTCCCACAGACAGTAATTCATTTACTTGAATCCAACACCTAATCGTTCACATTGTTGTAATCTGACATTACAGATTCTAACCTGTGGTGTCTCCTTCCCCACAGGACCCCATGTTTCTCTCTCACCATTTTATCTGAACATTCACCAAGACCTCAGTACATTAATGGTACTCCAGCATCTTGGTCCAATTCCTGGTCTTCTTCTATTCTATCCCACTGCTTCTAACACCCTAACAGCATTGCAAACTAGAATTATCCTGCAGTGTTCTGAGGAAGATCATGGACGGAACCAGATGACCTGGGAGTAAACATAGGTAAGTTAGTTAACCTCTCTGTGCCTCAATTTCCTCGTCTATAAAATAGAAATAGCAGTCCATTTACCTCCTAGAATTAACTGAAACATGTACAGGGCTTTCCAACAGGGTTAGCTGCTATTATCATTACTACACAGACTTTAGGTTAAACAGGTCTCTAAATTATAAGGGAACATGCAAGAAGAGCTCACATGAAAGCAGTCTTTACTGAGTTTTCCAATTCTTTTATTCGAAATTTAACAAAAGGGCTAACAGCTTGCCTCTCTTTGCATTTAACCTATTCACTATAAGAAAGAAAAACAAGAACTTAAGAATTGGAAAACACTGAACTATACTTTACTTAGATTATACTGAACAAGCATTTTCCAATCATCTTGTATAAAACATTCAAATCTTCATGAATCTGAAGGACAGCATACAAATCACACAGACAGGAAAAACTCAGTCACACAGTGATCTTCCTCTAATAAGGAAATGCAAAAACTGAAACTGTAGCTTCAGGATAATTTTTGGAATATTCCAGAAAATCAGATTTATATTATTATTATTATTATTGAAAATATCTCAGAATTCTTCATTTTGCTCCTAGATGTAAATACTAAGAGCACAGACTCTGGAGCCAGATGGGTCCAAATTTCAGCTCTGCTACTGACTTGCTACATGACCCTGGTGAAGGTGTCATGTAATGCCTCCACTTCTTCATCTGTAAAAATGGGGTCATGCTAATATTCATTATGAGCATTCAATGAGATATTAGATATAAATTGCTTAGAATGCTGCCTTCTACATAATAAGCTCTCAATCCTGGTAACTGTGGATATTAGCAAGTGGCCAAGCCATCTGGTATCTAAACAGTGCCACCAACTGCAAATTGATACAGCCAATATGGAAAGCAGTATGGAGATTCCTTGGAAATCTGGGAATGGAACCACCACTTGACAGCTATCCCTCTCCTTGGACTATACCCAAAGGACTTAAAAACAGCATTCTATAGGGACACAGCCACATCAATGTTTATAGCAGCACAATTCACAATAGCTAAACTGTGGAGCCAACCTAGATGTCCTTCAGTGGATGGATGGATAAAAAAAATGTGGCACATATACACAATGGAATTTTACACAGCAATAAAAGACAATAAAATCATGGCATTTGCAGGTAAATGGATGGCATTGGAGAAGATAATGCTAAGTGAAGTTAGCCAACCCCCCAAAAATAAATGCCGAATGTTTTCTCTGATATAAGGAGGCTGACTCATAGTGGAGTAGGGAGGGGGAGCATGAGAGGTATAGATGAATTCTAGATAGGGCAGAGGGGAGGGAGGGAAAGAAAGGGGGTTAGCAAGGATGGTGGAATGTGATAGACATCATTATCCTAAGGACATGTATATAGACTCGAATTGGGTATAAACATTCTTCATATACATATATATGTGTAATAAGAATTGTAATGCATTCCACTGTCATGTATTTAAAAAATAAAATCAATAGAACTAAAAAAAATAAAATGAAAAAATAAAAAAATAAACAATGCCACCTCTCAGAGAGTCAGGGCAGAGTCATCACCAATATGGCATTTTCTGAGAAGCTGGAAGGTCCTCTCCATACAAACACTCCTCTCCTAAATTCCATCTGATGGATATTTTAAATGCAGTGAGAAGGTCCCCATCATAGGACACTGTCTTCTCCAATGACAGTGATTCTTCAAGAAAGGCCCCAACTTCCTCTGTTCCCTCAGCACTAGAATTGACCCTGGCACTAAGAGATCTCCATAAATGTGTACTGAATAAAGGAACACTCATTCTTTTAGATTTTTAAAAGAGTTTTAAATTTCAGATCCCTTATTATAATACAAACCCTCTAGAAACTACCTGCTTAAGCCACTGAGAACACCTTAGCAGCAGTTACTGAACAGTTAGCTGCATGAAGGATGGTGACAGCTTCTAACACATTCAACACCATCTGGTCCCACCATTGCACACCAGTACAATACCCATCTAGGCTGAAATATAGTCTAGGGCAAACTCTGCCTGGAAAAAAAAAAAAGGTCAAACTTTTTATTACAAATAAAAGTATATTTCTAAAATGTTTACCTTGCCTCATAAATGAAAGTGATTTTTCTTTTATATTATCTGTCAGTTGTTTCTTCTTTGTCAGATAATCCAAAATGTAGATATTTGGAGCGAAATTGATCATGTTCTGTTCACCGCAGCCATAAGGCATCCGAATCAGCGAGGCTAAGCCATTGATGGAAGGCCCGAGAACATCTCCTGAAAGCACAAGACATGCAATCCATTCAGTAGTCATTCACAGTTATCTGCGGGCGGCAAGTCTTCCACTGAAAACAGAAGGTATTTGTCACTGAAGCAATTAGAACAGAGTGGAATCTTTACATAAATCACCTGACCAGAAAAATAATAATGCAATGGTACTGAACTTGTAAATTAGATGATAAATTAGGAGACTTTTAGCTCAGTGAAACATGTGACATTCACAGTAACAAAAACAGCATATTGGCATAAAAATAAACACATAGAACAAGGAACAAAAAGAAGAGAGGACCCAGAACTAAATCCACACACCTTCAGGCAACTTATTCTCAACAATGGTGCCCAAAACATAACATTAACTGGAGAAAGGACATTCTCTTCTATAAATGGTGCTGGGCCAACTAGATATTCATAGGCAGGATATTGAAACTTGACACATTATTTCTCACCCTGTACAAACATCAGCTCACAATGAATCAAAGACCTTAATCTAAGATCTGAAACTATGAAACTACTAGAAGAAAACACAGAGGAAACACCATTGCAGGCAATGATTTCCTGAATAGGACTCTAATCGCTCCGGAAACAATGATATATGGGATAACATCAAATTTAAAAGCTTCTGTACTACTAAGTATATAATCAATAAAGTAAAGAGACAACGTACAGAGTGTGAGAAAATCATTATCATTTGTTCACCTAAAAGAGTTTTAAAATCCTGAATATAAAAAGAGCTCAAAAAACTGAACAAAAAAAAATGAATAATCCAATTTGTAAATGGGCAAATGACCTAAATAACCACTTCTTAAAAGAAGTACAAGCAACTAATAAATAAATAGAAACAGCTAATAAATATATGGAAAGAAATGATCAATATTTTTAGCCATCAGGAAAATGCATGTCAGAAGTACACTGAGATTAATTCTCACCCCAGTTAGAGTGACTATTATCAAAAAGTAAACAAACAATTAAAAAACTAAATGATGGGAAGGATATGAAGAAAAAGGAACCCTTAATATGCCATTAGTGGAAATATAAATTAGTACAGCCATTATGGAAGACAATATGGACATTCCTCAAAAAAACTAAAAGCAGAACTTCCATATGATTCAACTATCCCACTCCTGAGTATATATCCAGAAAAAATGAAGTCAGCATACAGAAGAGATACCTCCTCACCCATGTTTATTGCAGCACTTACCTCAATAGCCAAAATATAGAATCAGCCTATTTGTGTCAACAGATGAATGAATAAAGAAACTGATATATATAGATATATATACACACAAAAAATGGAATATTATTCAGCTATAAAGAATGACATCATGCCATTTGCAGGAAAATGGATAAACATGTAAGGTCATCATGTAAGCAAAATAAGCCAGATACAGAAAGACAGTATCACATGTTTTCTTTTGTATGTAGAAACTTAAAAAAAAATAGCTTTAAAGTAAGAAGGACCTACTAAAGACTGAGAAGGGAACTTGGGGAAGGGAAATGAGAGGAAAGAGTGAGGGAATATATAAGGGAGGTTGGACATGATCAGTGCACAATATATGCACATATGGAAATGTCACAGTGACTCATAAAATCATAAAGTTAACATGTTAATAAAATATGAAAAAAGTGACATAAATTAGGCAAAAAATATTTCTTCTTTAAATCTTGAATAAAAATGTAAGAAATGGACCATGAGGACCCATCATTCTTAAACATGAACAAAATGTTTTATTATTAGTATTCTTTACATGACTAGAACTCTTTATTTCTTACTAACATAATACAAATGCTTGGCAAATGTTATTTCTTAAAACAGGGGTGGTAGTGTTTTTCACTGTCCTCTATTTGGCAGCAACAAAGTGAAATAACAAGAATAAGTTTCCAATGACCTTTAGGATCAAAAAATATGGGGAATATTCTTCAAAGGTAGGAATCTAAAAATAAGACAAAACAGATACTTAACAGACTCTTCTACCCACATTCAAACACCCTTGGGAAATAAGTAAAAATTCAGATACAGCTTGAGTTTTTAATTTTGACCCCTACTGTTGTTAGCTGTATGAAGAAGAGTATTCGGCTATGTAATTTACTTTGAAAACTTACACCATGCCAAGTTCAAATAACTAGTGAAAATCTGATCCTAACAAAAAATGAATACAAAAAAAGAGATCTCTTTCATATGAACAAGATGCAGGCATGCCAAAATGTCTCAAGCTTTAGATGTTAACACAAAAAAAAAATACAGTTCTTATTATTACCCCTGAAAATTTACATTTTTAATATTCAAAATGAACATAAATTTACAATTTCAAAATCCAAAGTAACAAGCTAGAATTCATACATTTTGGACCTCAAAGGTTTTTTTAATCATATAAAAATAAGATTTGAAAATCCACTCTTTGCATTCAGCAAAAAAAGTTAAACCTCTGAGTATTTTTGTGACCCTAGATAGGACAGACTCATTCCTATTTAGAGAGTGGTAGTATACATTTAAAATTCAGGGATTCTGGGCTGGAATTGTAGCTCAGTGGTAGAGTGCTTGCCATGCACATGGAAGGCACTGGGTTCAATCCTTATCACTACATAAAAATAAAATAAAGGTATTGTGTCCATCTACAACTAACAAGAATATTTTTTTTAATTCAGGGATTCTTCTATATGTGCTTATGCAGATGTGTATTGTACCTGCACTGTATTTCTTCTGCATCTCCCAGAATATCAACACTGTGAGAGAAGCATAGGCAGAATGTTCTTAAACAGAGAGCTTCTTTCATTCTTTTAAAAAATTATATCTCAGGCTTCAAATAAAGTCCTCTGCACAGTGATTAGTTCTTTGTGCTTACAAATATTACACCTGTAGGTAAGATTTTTTTAAAAGTCTGAAGGCCTGAAATCCTGGTGTCTTAAAGGCCTAACAAACTATTTAGATGTCTTTAATTAATACATTTTCTACAGTTATTTGTCAAATATAATTTATAAGAGTATTCATCTATGTCATTTAGAAGGACCTATTAGATGTGGTAGTTAATTTTATGTGTCAACTTAAGTAGAAGAGATGTGCCCTGACTAAACATTATTCCTGGGTGTATCTGGTGAGGGTGTTTCTGGATGAGATTAATGTGAGATTTTGTTTCTCTAGAGAACCCTAAGACACCAGTGTGCAAAGGTTATGTTTAATTCTAAAGTATTTTAGATTGCAAGGCACTAAAGTTACTAAGAGACATAATTAGAGTCAGTGCATAGTTTCTTATCCTCAAGGTAACCTGTGTCCTGCAGAGAACTAACTGCTCTAGGCAGTAGCTCCCAGCTCTTGGTTATTACAATCACTGTACCTGCCTTACCCATAGCCCAAGAAATTCTACTATAGTTGGTTTAGAGTAAAGCATAGATATCTGTGTCTTTACCAAGCTTCACAGAAGATTCTGATACTCACCAGTGGACAAGAGCTAAGAAGCTGTGCTTTTAGGAACAACCCTTTCATCCAACCACAGCAGGGTAGCACCTTGCTATTCATGGTGTGATATGCCAGAAGCTTCACGATAATATACCTGAGAGCTGATTAGAAACGTAAAATCCCAGCTCCCACCAACAGGGCTTTCAAACAAGATCCCCAGTTGATTCATATGCACATAAGACTGAGAAGAGCGATTATTCTAGGACACATAATTTGCTAACCTTTCTAATATAATCATCAGTTGGGACCAATTAAAAATTCTCATAAATAAATAAGAAAATACATATATAAATAAATGAATAATATATATTATTACATACAAATTAATCAGAAGAAGGGAATATATTCTTACCAACTGCAGTGATCTGAATTCTTTCACTGCCACTGACTGTATGAGGAGGAAATGAGAAACTGAAAGATTTCATGGTGGTTTGCAGTTTGTTGTCAGTCAAGTCTAGTAGGATGGACTGTGAATATGATTTTTCTATTCCTTCAGCCTATTGAAAAAAAAGGAACACAATTAATATGGTCTCTGCACATCTATTTACAGAGGACTATATGCAGATATGAACACAAACACCAGGCCTGTTGTTCTACAGTTTCTATATAGCTAGATAATTAATTACCATTTCTTAATTCTGACTTAAATCTGTTAAGTGTTTACCTTCTAATTGAATTAGAAAAAAGTTTCACAGAGTGTGGTAGAAATGACAAAGGTGAAATGTGATGAGAAAAAAAATGTATAGGGTAGGTTCTATTTATTATCAAAAGAGAGGGAGTAAATATTTCATCCAAAATCACATTCAGCAGGGCAGAGATACAAAATGAGGGCTCTCTCACCCCAGAATCTAAATGCACATGTGCTATGCTGACTTGTCTTTTTCTGCAGAATGTCTTCTACAGGCACTGAGAATTCCAAAATTTCAAATCTACTTATCAATCTGACCATGATTTAATAGGATCCCAATGTAACAAAGACTAAAGATGTAAATGACTATAAAAGAGACTTTGTGATCTTGAAACTCACTGTCCTGATTAAATTTAAAGAGTATACTGGCAATTATTTCTAAGCATATATGTTATATTTTTACATAGAGATGAGAAAACAACTGGGCATTATCAGGAGGATTGAGGAAAAGATGTACTGTTTGCCAACAAACTTAACTAAAAGAAAAATCATCTTCTTTGTCCTTTCCAATTCCACATACATATTTTCATTTATTTTGGACTCCCAATATTTACCTTTACTAAAATCCTCTGGGTGATAGCATCAGAAGCAGTGGGTGAAATAGCCATAACTGTGATAGGAATTTCTCCCAGATGTGTTGGCCTGACAGGAAAAACTACAGTTGCCCCATCCTCACTGGGAACCAGAATGGTCTGTTGGTGTCCTGTGGCATTGATTTCATTCGAAGTCAATAGAATATCATATCCATCACTTTTCTTAATGATTACCTTAACCTGGAAGAAAAAAAAATGCCTGAGGTTTTGTATAATAAGTGCTCTTTAGCAAAGTGTATTACCACCACCATAAGTGCTGTTATAACTTGCAGCTCAAAACAAGAGAAAGATGAGGCCAAAATTCAGCCAATGAGAGAATGAAAAGGAAAATCCTCATTCATTTCATATGCTTTCCTTTCTACCTCAAGATATTTGGGGAAAAGGCACGCTTCACCTCCATTTCTAGTCCTATCCCTTACATTAAATTCTGTCATTATGCAAAGCCATTGAATGATAAGGCTATACACAGAACGTGGTGTAGGTACCACCACCAGCCTGATTTAACTGTGTCATTCCATCAGAAAACAATGAGACAAACAAGATGAGATGCTATTACATCCCTTGAGAATCTCCGTGAAAATTATTCCAAGGAAAGTGTGACTCAGAAATCAATCCTAAAGTGTATCTTGGTTATAAACTTTTGTAAATTATGCCAAAGTTGCTAGTCTCATCAAGAATAGCATTTCTCTAAGCCTTACATTTTACAGATTATTTTCTAATCTATTTTCTCAATTGCTTTTCAAAATACTTTTGTGTAGATAATAGTTATGATTCCCATTTTATAGATGAGGAAACTACAATTAAGTTAGTTGCTAGTACGTGGCAGACTGGACACTGAGCCTTCTGACTGCAAATCTTTTGTTACACTGTACCATGCTGACTACATTAAAAAAATACAATTAAAAATTTTAAAGACTCGCTGGTAGAGTGTGTGCTTACCATGAACAAAGCTCTGGGTTTAATCCTCAGCACCAAAAGTAGTAGTAGTAATTATAATAATAATATTAAACATTTTATTATATATTTTTAAAGTATGTCATTTCCAGCCAGGTGTGGTGGCGCATGACTGTAATGCCAGCGGCTCAGAAGGCTGAGGCAAGAGGATTGCAAATTCAAAGTCAGCCTCAGCAACTTAGCAAGGCCGTAAGCAATGTAGCAAGACCGTATCTTTAAATAAATAAAATATTTAAAAGGGCTGAGGATGTGGCTCAGTGGTTAAAGACCTCTGGGTTCAATCCCCAGTACCCAAAAAAATAAGAAATATCTTTCCATACAATAAAGTTAATTGCATATCCCTAATTACTCGGGGGGGGGGGAAATATCAACCATTTGGTTAACACTACTGTGGGCACGGTACAAGCAATGGCCCTCATCCAGGCCATCCAAGGAATTGACTAGCTAAGGAGACACAAAGCACATGACTCAAAAAATAAATTCTTGAAAGTGTAATATACTGTATAACTATGGGGACTGTAAACACAGCAGAACAGGTTAGATTCCTCAGGAAAGGCATCTTGGTTCCAAGCCAAGTCCTGAAGGGGATAAATTTGCCAAATGCACTGGGCACAGAACGTCAGTGAGATGTGACAACACATTCTAGACGTGGGGGACCATGGGGAAACATGGGTTAGGGTAGACAGGAGGGAGAAAGGCATGCCTCCAAAACCATAAGGAAGGACTGTGGCTGAAGGGGAGAACCTGTGCTGGGAATCAAGGAGGAAGTACACAGACCTGCTAATGATTCCCTAGACGTTATTACAGAAGAAGCAACTAACTAAGTACATCCATATTAATCTCCCAGAAAGGTACAGCATGCCTAGAAGCACAGATGTGCAAATACTACCTATGCTAATCCACATGTTTTCTCCTGAAACATAAACAAGCAACAAAACCTTAAACACATTACCTCAGTGGCCTCTTTCAAATAATTGAATATGGTTACTTCCAAAGCAAATTCTTCACCTCTGATAACAGAGTAGGGAAGATTCAAAAAAATGAAAAATGGTTGGAAGGCTTGTAGCTGGAAAGAACACAGTGGGTATATGTTTTTATTCAGGTCAAATGTTTCACACTATATACAATTAAAAACAATCCTCACAAAGCCTGTGAAGTTTACAAGTCCTCTTAGAATTTTCCGCTTTCCTACCAACAGAAGGCAAATAACAACTTTTCCCAAATAAATTATATCAAATTGTCTTGATTTGTGTTATTCAACATTATTAATCCTATACTTTATTAAGTGCCTAAGAGGAATAAGGCACTTCACAAATTATTTCATTTAATCATTATAAATCTATAAAGACTCTATGCTCCTATTAAATAGCAAAGTAACGTTCATGGGATCTGTCACTAGTAGAACCTCAAGTTAGAGGCAAGCAGAGAAACCAGAAGCAAGTTGCTGTCTAATACTGAAGCAAGTTGCTCTTATTTTATGCTATATTGACTCCATCATCTGCTTTGAAAGCCATTGCCCAAATCAACAGTCTCTGTTTTAGACTAGTGTGGTAAACCTCAACACAGCCGGCCTGGTGACAGTTTACTTCTACACACACATCCATGTGTGTTTCCTCCAGGTGGTCCAACTCTGAAAATGTTGGCTAAGTCCTGCAGGGGAGGCTGAGGCCCTCCCCTGACTCTGAGGTTTAGTTTAAGCCATGGTCACACTGGCAACAGTAACTCCTTCTAGAGGTTTCTTTGGACATTTGTGAAGGTGTCTTAGGTCATCACAATGATTGGAGGATGCTACTTAGTGGGTGAAGGTCTGCAATATTCAGGACCAACGCAAACAATGAAGGACTGTTTCATATTCCTCAGGACTCTTGAATGTTTCTTTAGATATGCACATAGCTAAAGTACCTATTTAAAATGACTTAAGCTTACTACATAATTCCAATTTAAATATGACTAAATTTTTCTGAATACAACTATTTTGTAAGAGAAGAATGCATTTTGGTTTGTTTGTAACTTTACCAAAAGTTGTTCACCATTTCAGAAATTTACAGGCAGCACCACTCAAGGATTTTGAGTTGCTGAAATAATACATGTACATCAAAACACGCCTGTAGTATTGCACACAGGGCGATTCCAGGCATGGCATAAGCATTTAAAATTTCGCTGTATCTTTAGTGCAATAATGTCTGGTCATGAACATATTTAAATACATATCATGTTACCATGTGTTACTTTCTTTTTATTTCTCTTAGTATCTCACTTAAGGCATCATGTTAACTTTTTTGAAATTGTATACATAGGAATGTTATGCTTTCTACTAATTTCGTTTTGGGATGCTAAAGAGGCAAAACAAATGTGTTATAAAGAATAACAGAAGTGAGGGGCTGGGGTTGTAACTCAGTGGTAGAATGCTTGCCTCACATGTGTGAGGCACTGGGTTTGATTCTCAGCACCGCATATAAATAAATGAATAAAATAAAGGTCCATTAACATCTAAAAAGAATCAAAAAGAAAAAGAATAACAGAAGCAAGAAGTATTGGTCTTTGGCCATTCATAGTCATGTTATGCCTCTTAGTAACTAGAAACGAGATGTGATGGCATATCTACTAGGGGACGTCTTGAGAAGTTGTGCTCATCCATGAAGGACACATGAAAATTCTCTCTCCTCTCTCTATTCTGGCCATTGGAAGTTGTTAGAGCACATCCATAATAAACTTTTCTATCCTAATCTTAATATGGACACTTACCACTTAACACTCTAATATAGCTCTCTTTCTAAAATTTAAAACAGATGAAAAGCAGAAAGGAAAAATCAAAAAAATCTCTAAACTATGATAAACATTATAAGCAATCATTTTTTAAAAATCTGTTGAGTAGCTGGAACTTCCTTAGCTTCACGGTACTGTAACAGTAATAAGCAGCCCCTCCATAGGTTACCTCCACTGGGGCAGTCGTTAATCCAAGACCTAAGTCTTCGGAGATCACAAAAGCAGTAGCCACCCAAGAAGTGATAGAGTCAGGTACTGTAACTTCAAATTCCTGGTGAATCTTGGATCTGAAATCAAGACAAACATAGAAATCACAAAACCAAGAACTGACATATTTCAAAATAAGTCAACAACTATTTTTGGAAGAATTTTAATTTTATATATCACTTATATATCTAAATTTAAAACCATTTAGCATAAAAAAGCAGATCCCAAGTTCTCAAAAAAGAGGTCATAATATTTCATACTAATTCAAATTCTAATAAATTCTTTCTATAATATTTATATCTTCAGAATTCCCACTGTAGTTTCATAAATTTTATATAAAGAATAAATACATATTTTCAAACTCCAATTTTTTCTCAGTTTGAAGAAGAGTTACTTTTCTATATCCCTGTAAATACTGTTATTTATTTTTTCTGAGATTATTTAGAATATTCCTAAATAGCTATCTATATATTACTGTGTAGAACAAAATTTATCTCATCAGGTAGCACACTGTTTAGCAGTGAGGCTGAATTCCTTCCACCCCCATGTCCCTCCTTCCCCTGAGGATGTTCTATGAGTATCAGTAGCAGCACTGCCAGTGGTCCAGGAGGTGATCACTAGTGCTTCTCACCTAATGGCAACAAATGTATGTCCGGCAATTTTTCTCCAGTGAGAATTATGAGACTTCAAAGTTAAAATCACACTTCATTGGGGGATTAAAAATAAAAAGACCTATCATCTTCTTGTTAATAATCTCCTGCCATAATTTCCATGTGGCTTTATTAAATACTACAGGTAGATTTGATGAACATCCTAAAAAAAAATCCTCTTGGTCTACTTAGTTCTTCATCAACTATGTACTATGCCCTCTAGAAAAAGAGCAAATCTTATTTAAAACATATACTAAGTGAAATATGTGTGAACAAAGAACTTTATAAATGTTTACCCCATATCAGTGTCTAGCCAAATCCAAGTCTCTGGAAAATGCTTTCTTACACGTGGGTTGCTAAATGAAGAAAAATCATTAATATCTACTGGATACCCCTGAGTTTCCTCCACAAACATCTCAGCATACTCCGCAGTATCATCTAAAAACAAATATTGAAAGTGGTTAGAAAAACAGTCATGGGAGAAAATGAATTGTAAACTTGGTGCATGGACTCATAGCCCCTCTCTGCTGCAGGAAATCTTAGTCTGTCTTGTCCAACCCTCTCATTTTCTCAGATGAGAAATCTGATAGGCAGAGAAGTCAAGTGATTTACCAAACACCACATGGACAGTGACCTCAGAGCCAGAAATAATTTTTTTAAACTGTTTCCTGTCACTAATGACCAATAATAATAAAAAAAAATACTTACAGTTCAAATGCTTAAATTTTTAACTTGATTTTTTTAAGTATTTAAAAGTATCATTTTAAAACCATTTATAACTTTTCTATTCCTCTCTTTCTACCTCCTTAGTGCTGACAATAAAATAAAGACTATAGCAGGCGCTGGGCAGGATTTGATAAGTAGAGATGAAAAAAGATGCATAAAAACAGAGACTGGAAAATGGATAAAGACAGATTCTTGGAAGGCTCGTAGGACAGAGAATTGTATGAGGAAAATTAAGTGTAGCACATGTTTTTAATAAATAAATATCATAAAAACTCATAAATCTTTAAAACTATGAAATATTTTTTAAGTTTCAGAACAGAGGCTCATGGTGTGACAAGAACCAACAGAAAGCCAGATAGCCTGGGGCTGAGTGCAGAGTAACTGAGAACACCTGATAGGAAATTCAGACAGAGGAACTGTGATAGTTCTGGAACACTTTCAAGATGATATTAGTAAATTTTACCTGAAAAAAAGAGGGAATAGCTTCTACAGTTAACCACCCTTATGTATACATTTCCTCCAGTCAAAATATTTTATGATTTCTTTGTAAGAGTATACTTTTTTTTTTATTTTTCAGTGGTCACCTCCATGGATGAAGTGTGTGTGTGTGTGTGTGTGTGTGTGAGAGAGAGAGAGAGAGAGAGAGAATATCTACTTTTGGCATCTGGGCTATTTCTGAGTGAACATCAAAAAGCTAGAAAACACAAGTGTTTCAAAACATTTGTGTTTCTCCTTTGAAGTAGTTCCAAAATAATAGCACAGCTTTCAATACAAATTGGAACCAATATGTTCAAAATATAACCACCTCAAAGGATTACACAAAACAAATGAAAAGCATACATTTCAAAGACAGGAGCTCAGAAGAACATTTTATGTCATGGCCCAGATGTACTTCCAAGTATGATAAATTCCAAACATTTTAAGATACAAATATTCATGTTCAACCAGAAAATATCCATACCTGTATAAAGTAATACTAAAGGTCTGATGTAAAAGACAAATATCTTGCAAGCATACTGCCAGTTTTTACTTACAAACAATATCAACATAATCCTTCACAAGGTTTGCATCCGTCAATACCCAGAGACCACATTCCTAGAAAAAATAATTTTAATTTTCTTTTTTTTTTTTTTTTTTTTTTTTTT